CTCTCTCTCTCTCTCTCTCTCTCTCTCTCTCTCTCTCTCTCTCTCTCTCTCTCTCTCTCTCTCTCTCTCTCCCCCCCACCCGGGTGATATTGCTCTCTCTCTCTCTCTCTCTCTCTCTCTCTCTCTCTCTCTCTCTCTCTCTAACTCTCTCTTAAGCACACGAGAAGCGACTGATAGGCGAATAGACAGCCACAGGTACAAAAACGCAAAAGACACTCTTGACTTACGCTCCCTCCCGCTTCCCGCATTGTTTCCCTGTCCGTTCCAGTCAAGAAGAGGTGGGGAAAACGCGGAACGACAGCTTTCGAAATGAAGTTAGATGATTGTCTTCTAATTGTATTCCCTTGGCTTCCTGCTATTTTGCCTTGATTGTTTCCTTTCGATTCCCGCCACGGCTATGGCGATGGATTCAACAAGGTCAACGAACGTATCCGGTCGTTCCGCTACTCCCATCCCGATCCCCTCTGCAGGGCGACTGCTATCTCATCAGTCTACTTCGGATTCAAAGGTAAAAAAGAAACGAAAAACGAAATAATTTTCCACCCGCCGCGTCGGCTCACCGCTGGAGAAAACTTCGTGGAAATACGCAAACGGACGAAATCTGTTGATGAATAACCAAACAAATGCAAATACGGGTACCTATGCTAAATTTCAAACAATTTCGGGCAATCTCGCAATTGGTGTGTTGCAAGTTTTCGTCTAAAATACTGTTCCGGGTCCGGTTCCGGTTCCGGTCCTGGTTCCCGTTATGCTCAGCTGATAGAGCACTGTGTTCCCTTGTTGAAGAACGGTCATTGTCAGGAGCAATAGCTTCCGAGAGTTCTCCAAATTGCCGCTTGAGGGGGCACTAACCATCTATTCTGGGTTCAAAGCGTGATAACCCGGTTAGATTGTGGGTTCAATTTCAGCATCACCCTGTGATGACACCAGACATGCTTGCACCCCAAACCTAGTGCAGCAGGAGGGAGGACGGGGGGTCGAAAGGGGGGAGAGGAATGGGCAGCTCTGTGGTCGCCATGTGAAGAGAAGCCTGGAGGAGGCTTAGGAACGAGCGAGAGGAATGAGCACTTCTACTGTAGCCGGGTGGATGGTCACCTTTTGAGGAAGAGAAGGCAGAAAGGATGGGGAGACTATTGTCGAAGGTGAGGGTTTGGCTCCTCCTGGGGACGTACCAACAGTAGGGTACAAAATTATGTTGGTTTGTGGTCAGGCGGTAGAAGTTATGTAGACTCCTTTATGTATACCTATCTTCACAAAGCGAGAAGGCAGGTAGGATGGGGGCACTATTGCCAAAGACAAAAAAACGAGTCTTCTTGGGAAAGTGGTAACAATCGAAAGATACTCTCTCCTTTGGTGCAAATGGATATATTTTCCTTTGGCACAATTGGTACCATTAGGGCTACATAATTACAAAGGTATTATCTCATGATGTCATCGATCATATACTTGTATTGTACAGTACCTTATCCGTTAAGCTAATTACCTTGACAAAGATGTTACTTTGAAACTCATAAAACATCTAAAACATTAAATAAGTATAACTAGTGTTTTCGATTATACTCATTATGCTAACGTGCTCGTCGTAATTCAATCAATTTATATTATTTCTTTAACGATCGACAACCTTGTATCACAAACTCCATTACTAAAAATACTATACTATCACCAAAGAACCTCACTTGCTTCACTCTACATGTTAACCTCACTTGTACTATTCATTATTACCCCAATAAACTTCAACAATAGTATGAATTTTTCATAACTTATATTCAAACTTATTTTTATGTTCAAACAATGATATCAACCTATAGCTTTATTTTCATCAACCACATTTCTAATTCGAATATACATTACTTTTGCTTCAAGTTGTTGAAAACATTAATGCTTTGGTTATATAACGTTCACGCGAAATGTTTTATTTTGTTGAATGTTATTATACACACCTTTTGTTGCCATTCTTATTTTGTATCATGGTTCTACACTGCATTTTTTGTAAATACTAATTATCTTAACATGAATGATTATCAATGTTTTTTTTTTTTTTTTTTGCAATAAACAATTATTATCCACACTCCATATAATAACATAATTGTCTATTCACACCTCACGTTGTTGGGGCAGAAACCCTTACAACGGTACCTACTCGGTATTTTGAATGTCAAACGTTGTCGAACTTTTAATGAAATTTTTGAGTGGATAAGACTGAGGCGTTTGTCGGAAGTTATTCAAACCTGACCTATGACTAATGGGTTAAAAATGTTTTTCAAACTTAAAACCGGATGTATGACAATATCTGGGAATAATTGGCATATGATCGGTCGTAATGTATAGGCGCAAAGTTGGATATGTTGGGAACTCCGTCGAGTATCCGATCAAATGACAAATGTGCCGGTGCGGATAATTAGCAGGGAAGTCATGTGTTGATACATGCCCTGCGCCGCTCAACGACTACACGTCTGCTTCTGACTACACATTGGAAGGCATGCGAGTGTGGGAATGTTAAAGCTAAGCCTATCCTATGATTTATAGTTTAAGTAGGCCAAAGAGAACGGTCGCGCAGGGCACGAGACTGCGGCGCAAGAGGAACGGGAAGCCTATTTGTTTATTTTTCTAAATTATTGGGCCCTCATGGCTAAATTTTGCACCGATTGCCGATAAAACAGGTGTTGTGGCCCACCCAATTTGGCGCCCGTCCAAGCCGTGGACGGGACAACCAGCTACGGGAAAGGGTGAGGTAGGTATAATTTGCCAAGGCATGGGGAGATGACCTACTGGTATGAGCCCTTCATATAGAAGGGTTTCTCCTCTTATATCATGAGTAGATGATAGCCTAATAGGTTAACGCATTGGACCACTATGTCATAAATATGGGCATCGAATCTCGAATTTGCCCAATTGGTGCTAGCTTTTTTTACTGGAGCAGGTCATAAGGCCAAGGCATCGGTGCTAACGTTTTTTACTGAAGCAGGCCGTAAGGCCAGGGCATTGGAACGACGATCGATCTCGGTCACAGGATCGGCGTCATCACACGACCGAAATCGGCCGCGTTGTAGATTAGCATGACCCTTGCGCAAGGATGACACGCATAAATTGAGAAATGGTTCAAATAGGTACCATGTTGCCCCTCTGCTCTTATTGTAGAACATCGTCCCAAAAGCAGATTGCGGACCTTTGACACTGTCTGTTGGACTGCCCCATGGCAAAACAGATATGGCATTGGTGGGTAACATCGTGGAAACACTTGACAAGAATTGATTTGTCGTAGGACCGGACAACTTTGCTGCTAGACCAACCCGTGCCCTCTACGACGAATTGGTCGGTATTCCAATCTAACCTCTTTAAACTGACAAGGTTTGAAGTACTAATGGTAGTGTGGCAGGCACGCTGCTCCCACAAAAGATAGGAGCATATCATCCAAGTCGTACAACACATTGTTGAAACCATACAGATTAACATCCAAAAGGCCTGGAGAATCCTCAAAGACATATTAACCATTGTTACCGACCAAGCCAAAATTGACCAACATACCAGAATATTTGAACAAATATGGCTTGATCGCGCAAAAAAAAACGCGTCGCTACATGGAGACCGAAACCTTGTATGGAAGCCATGGTAGTAGAATGAACGCAGATGGCAATGGAAAGCGGTACCCGCGTTCAACCAACAATTACCAATACAACCAGTTTTGGTCAACCTTTCGACCACCACGTCAATCTGGATCGGGTAGGCAACCTGGAACACACAATAGGGGAGACAACCCCCCCCCTTCGGGATACACCACCCCCAATTGTCCCCCCACCTCCGTCGACACCCCCTCCATTGCCTGTGGGGTCTCCACCACAAACTCCCTCCCCCCTGTCGGAACCATCAATATCAACTCCACCCTTTGCTTTGACACCTCCTCGACTACCGAAAGGGTCCGCCCCAAACAACCTGCCCCCGCCTCCGTCCCTTAACCTCGCCACTACTCACCTAACCCTACTCCCAACCCCTCTCTCCGACCGACTCTATACTAGGTGCACCCTGGTCAGGGGTCAATGGCGCGTTGGACCCCCCATTGCCAAAGGACCCCCCTTCCCCGGTACCCTCCCCCCCTCCCCCACTACCATTGCATCCCCCCCTCGCGCCTCCCTCTCCCCCCTCCATCCTTCTCCGCCCACCCAGGCACAATTGCTTAAGACAAGACCTGGCCAACGACGAGAGTCACGAGCAGCAACAAGGACAACCTAAGATTATTGAGCCCATAGGAGCGGACCACCAGGAGGCCTACACACATGAGAGCACATGCAGGGCTGCAGGGGGGCACCTCTTAGGATGCCCAAACATTTCGGGGTCTTTGAACTTATATAGATTTAAAGGAGCCTTATCTTATACAAATTTAAAGGAGCCTTATCTTAGTTGCATTCCGAAGGGTTGGGGTAGGGGAACGGGTGGCGGGTTTACCTACGCGATAGGGGTTAAAGTCGACAGAGATGGTATCGGGCAATTGCATTGACTCAATAAGGGGCTACATGTTGGGAAAATAGGGAGAATAACAAACCGTGTGTATCACCTTCAGTCCGAACCTCGTAGAAGTGACTATACGTCCTCTGA